GGAATATTTATAATTTTACATTCGCTTCGCAAGATTATAATATTATCCAATTAAACAGAATATTCAGATTTATGTAAAAACACCTACCTATTTGTACTATCGCACCGCTATGAGTCACCAAATGTCATCACTTTATAAAAATCCTAAAAAGAGTGTCTAATTAAGAATAAACCAGCCGTAGACTGTAGGTTGACAGCACCTCCGCCGTATACTATATTTTGTATATTACATTGTTGTAGCAATACAAAATAAAGTATTGTAGTACTATACCCTAGTTATAATTCATATCTATTTCAACGGTTTTTATTAATATTACTAACCCAGCCCGTAACAATATAAGTATGGAGTAAGTTTGTTTACGATACGAAATTGAGAATCCAATGTACTCATAATATAGAATCTTTAAGTTTAACTTTCATCGTATAAAGTATCTTATTATCGATAAGTTATCATGATATTATTGGTAGCTTCTGTAAGTAAATGTAAAGAAGGTTTATAAAACCTAAACGAAGCTCAAATAAAATAGTTTACTTCGTCAACGAAATAAAAGCGCCCAGAAAGCTGTAACCGTAAACAGTTCTTTAGATTTCTTACTAGGTTATAAATAAGCCGAAAGTCGGAAGTCAGGTACAATTTTTTGGGAGGGGTTAACAATTTTACAATGAATACCTTAACACGAAAAAAGTTGTTCTCGTTTCAATAGAAAATCAATTGCTATAATTTCATAACAGATGATGATATTGCAAAAAAAATGTACTTAAATACGTCACTTTCAATGTTACGAAATAACCAGCATAACAGGTTAACAGCTAGTAAAGAAACTTAACGTTGTCATGCTTTTAGGTCTAAATTGTCTAAAATACACACTACTTCCCCATACTAAAAATAATAATAATCGTGTGGCATTGAATACGTATTGATATACTTACACGCTACACATTGTGATCGATATTTTTCGTAATAGGTCATCGTGTATGCAGACGCGCCCTATTTCGTATTGCACATTGTTGTTGTACGACACAAAACTCAAACTGAAATGACAAACGCGAAGAGCAAAACTGTTGTTGCATTGTAAACTAGCATTATGCGACAGACGGACGCGCGGAAATTGCGGCAGCGAACGTTTGGACCGACACAACGCATTCGACGTCATCCCCGGCGACGTTTATTATATGTGGGCAATTTACAGGACACCGTGTCCATATAAAGTATAATTCGATGGTAGAAAGGCCAAGTAATGTAACCCATGTATCCAATGGAATTTTTCAGGAGCGATTAAAATATGTTAATTGTATTGTTAAAAATGACATACTTATAGAGTGTTGCATCATTTTTTTGTTCTGATTTTCCACATCAAAAATGATTTGAAGGTTACTTTACCTGTGAAAAACGTGTTTTATAAGTCTTAATCATTATTGAAGTTAAAATCTCTATCTCTAGACGGCATGGCTTATACCTAGAGAGCGAATTTTTAGGTTTTTACATGTATTTATTGGTTTTGCATATTTAATAGCATATAAATAGCGTAGAAAATGTGTACAATTTTTGATTACGGAATTCGTAGAAAAAAAAATTGTATTAAATACAATAAAAATAAAGTAAACATTTTTTGTATAAATATTCTGATCATATTTTTGGGGATAATATATTGCATTGTTGTCGGTAAAAAAAAACAATTTTCACTCGCCAAGTGAAGGATTTATATTTTATAATACGTTTATAGTTTGTAATTTAATTGGTTATCTTGTCACTCTGGTCCTATCGGACTGTGATATACTGTTTAGCTAACTGTTTATCATTAATCATTATCATTGAGTAATTTACCTAATGTTTAATTCAGACCATTACCGATACGAATGCACAGAACTATTCAACAGTCAAACATAGGTAATATTCTAATTTCGAGGGTAATATGATATACTTTATATTACTTTACTTGGCCACTTAGGTGGGTAGGTACATAATTAAATTTTAGTTTTTTCATAAATCATTTAGTATCATATTTTAAACTTTTAAGAGCCTTTAAGAAATATGCTCGTTAGACTTATATTACTTGGTTTCCTACCTTCGATATAACAATAGCTGCTGTTAGACTGCTGATTAGAAAGATCGTCTATCGTCGATAGACTATTGACAATTCGACTAAGATCGATCGATCATATTCCACGTCAACGTAATAATTTCTTTGAAAAATAAAAGTGTCGATAACGACGAGGGTGTACGTAATACAATGTGGTAAATAATAGAATTTTATTTAATATAATATGATTTGCAATAAACCGTTGTGTATTCGCAGCACTCATCGTCATTGCGATCGCCACGTAAAAATTATAGTTGTAGAATATTGTACAGTCGAAGTAAATATTTTCTCTATACAGCATAGGCGGTGGAAGGGGATCAAAATGTGGGAGGAGTGCGTAGATAGTATATTATATAATTGAGTTAAGCGCAGTGCGAACGGCGTTCCCAAGAACACTTTCATTAACACATATTATTTTAGAATATCGCCAATATTTTACTAGCAATGTTTATGTGGTTAACTGTAGTACTTTGCAACAACGTTATAAAAAGGCATTGTTAACAATTATATACAGTGTTTGATTTTATAATAGGACTTTTTGGATATACTCTAAGTGGCGGCCCGTGGAAAAGGGCACACGTAAAAAGAAAATGATTTATGAAGAATTAAAATTAAATTAAATCATGGTTGTCGCCGTCCATAATACACATAACACAACAGACATTTTATCATCAGAGTTATGAATTATTTTATGACGATGGGGTAAAATGTTTGTGCCCCATATATTGTGAACCACACCAGCCGCCAATGTATACTCCCCATCCTCACTTCCTAATCGACTTTTTAGTATTTATTAATACAAAAATGTTTGTAAAATTTTTAGTTGTTTTAAAAATTAACCATTTAGATACACCGATATTAGGATTCCATAAATGTAACAACTAGTAATTTCAAATTTGATATAAAAATAGTTTTAATTTTGTTCATGTTTTATTTTAATAAACTAAAATATACTATAAATTACTAAATGCCTCGCTAAATGCACTATATGTACAATGTGCATAGGTGACATAGACATACAATTATGATTTTCCACAATCATAAATCAAAAATTTTAAAATATATTTTGTGATGGGTTTTATAAAAATCAGTGAGAGGTGTGGAGTGTGGATTCTTTAAAGTACCGTCTATAATACTCTATATAGTTGTCACAATAGATTCATTTTTTAATGGAATCTTCATATTGGTAGGTATAACTATACCTAATAAATTTAGTACTTAGTATAGGTATGTTCTGTAGATGTAAAATATTAAATAGTATTTTACCACCAACCACTATGCAAATGGGTTTCTATGCAATTGTTCTATTACATTATTTTACACTAATGAAATATGTGTCTGGCGAGGTACTTTTGAAAAATGTTTAAGATTGTTGAGAACTACCTTTACTTACTAAGAATTATTATGTCTATAGGTAGGATACGGCTATATTAAATTTAAAATAATGCCATGGTAAAGAAGTATTAATGAATTTATATTTGTTTATAACTTAGAAAGCTTCCATTTAACCATAATTACCTACGGTACTTACTACTCGGCAAAATGAGAACAATTTTTTAAAATTAAAAAATATAATAGGTAAGGTACAGCTAGGAAAAACAAATCTTAATAATATTGGTGTAAATGTTACAATGTTTGAATGAACAATTTTAAATTCTATGATCAGTATATAAATTATGTTAAATACCTTTAAAAACTTTTAAACTTAACTGTTAAACTTTTTGTAAGTATGGCCATGTAGATAATCATCAAACGATTGTATCAATCTATTGTACATTATTCACATTGATTAGGTACCTAATTGAAGCTAAAATTTGATGGGTTAATAAAGATGAATAAATTGTAAAAAATACTTTTAAGATGGCTGTTGTCTCATTTAAAAGCTTAGGCGTTTAGAGACAATTGATTAAATTGTGTTGTAAACATGTAGTAAATTAATAAATATTATCATCATTATTAATATTATTATATTCGACTACCTCTTTCTAACAATACTGACACTAGGCAACCTATAGCGGGATAGGGTAAACAACACAGTTCATAATATATTAATATACCAGAATATGCCAATGCTATTCATATAGAAAGTTGATACTATGTCTTACACACTTACAGTCCTACCCAAACTTTCACCACAATAAAAAATAAACATAAGTAACACATTCAAATTGTATTATCCAGGATAGTAGTATCAGTATGGTATAAGATTATAAACTATTATTCTTACAACATAATATAAATACTCGTAAAAGTACTAAACTTTAGTTTGTTGATTGGGAGGACTATTATAACTACTAAGTACTCAATACTAATGCAATAAGAAATAATGATTAAAATTTAAAAAACGAATAACCAACAAACTAACTTGTTTTGAATATATATTTATCTTATCAAAGCAGCGTCATTGAATGGCTGCTATTATGAACACTAAACTCTACCTACTAACCCTACACTACTATAAAAAAATTTATTTTGTAAGTAGATACTTTATAACTACATAATTCAATTTAACTATTATTCAAACTGACTTTATTTTATTCTACCTACCTATTTACATAATCGTATAATAATTAAAAGATGATAAATATTATTAAAATCATAATTATATAATTATTAACAATGGTCAATGACCAGCAAATGCATTTTTAACCACACACTAGTATGCACATAATATAATAATATAATAATAATAGGCATGTCGGTATTATGTATTTATGTACCCACTAGCTTCATAACAAATAGGCACCTAAGGTCTACCATAGCATCTAAGTTTCAAAAGTGCATTTCAACTAAATATAACCCGGAGTACTGGACTGAATTCCAGTATTATAGCTGTTCGTCAGCAGACAACGTCTATCTTAACACCGTTGTGTGTAACATTTTTCTAATCTAAGCTTTTTTTCTTTAAACTAAGGCTTACCTTCAGTGTTCGTCGATGCATGCACTGATCGGTGAATGACTGCCAAAGTTCTTCAAGTATAGAAGTAATACCAAATAATAATGGTGTGGTGGGCGGGTTCAGTGTTGAACAAAACGAGTGCACTTTCGAGACGATTTCTGGGCGACGGTTATTTTTTCAGACGTCACACTTTGACGAGTCTGTTGTACTGCTGTCGAGAAACAGTCGTTAAGGTTACTTAGGTTCGGATATTCACAAGACTGGTCACTGATGGCGAACGTGGACGGAGCGGTATCCGAGAAGAGCATACACGACCCTCCACACGTGACGGCGTAATAACACTAAATAATTAGGAATCAAGAAGTATTATTAGGAACGACGAAAGTATGAAAATAATAATATTATGTTGTAGCCGATCGCCACGAGCGTCGTCACTGGCATTCTATCGAGAAAAACCCAGTAAAAGTTGTTGTTGTCGTGCTCGCGATGGTAAATTTATACCGTCATATTAATATTTCCATGTAAACGAAGACCAAAATAATATAATATTATTTAACTACGCGGTTACACTTTAATAATAGTTATCAATAGTTGTTGTAAACTATTATGGTGGTGCACCTATTCCGAAGATATTAATAATCTGCAAAACTCTATAAATTGGTAAATATACATTTTACGACAAAAATAGTTATTAATACTGTCTTCCCCCGACGACGGTCTTTCCATGAAAATCGTTCTGCTCGGAAATATAATAATATAATTATCATGTAGGTATATCGCGCGGATTCAGCACGCGCCCACGGCCCACCACTAAGCTCTACCACCTAATTAAACGAGTGAAATGGGCGAGTACCGAGTACTGGCTGTCCGGCTCAAGTGATTACCGAGTACCTGACGTCATAAACGTACTACCCACCACCCACCCATCACAAACTTAATTAATATAATAGTGAAACACGGTAATACGGACAATGCCTACGGTATGTACCAATGTACCATGTCTATAACGACTATACGAGTGCTGACGTGTACACTGTACAGTAATAATTATTATTAATGATTATAATTGCAGTGGCACGTGAGCTATAATTATCCCATTTCTTCTAATATTATTTTTCTTATTTCAATATTACATTACAGTATGTGTTTTTGAAACTATACTACTTTGGAAATGATAGAACATTTAATGCGAGTTATGAGTATTTTAAGATAGTAAATCGTTTGTACATCTTAAAATATTTTGTATGTCTTTAAAATTAAAATTAAATAAAAAGCCCAGGAGATGCCGTGGATAATAATAATCTTAGCTTTATATTTTATGAGATTCACTCTAATTTTTAAACTTAAGGAGCTAAACATGATCTGCTGGGAATAAAATATACTGTTATCCAATTGACGTAAGACGGATACAATAAAATATGTCCGAGTAGCGTCCTCTTAAGGAATAAACAGGTTACTAAATAGTAAGTCGTAGAATAAATGTAAATGTCTAGCGACGAGCGTCATATTACCGGACTACCGTGACGCTTTATGTTGTGCTCACTGCTCAGTCAAAAAAAAAACCAAATAGTTCGAAACTTCGAAATATTACATCAAAATTAATTTAATTAGCGATACACCTCTAAATAGCGGACAAAATTTGGAAATTTGGACTACCGAGTGCCCAGTGTTGAGAGATTTTACTGGATGGTTGTATTATAAATTATTGCAGTATTTTAAATATTCGTCTACAAGATGTTATAAATAAAACATAATCCAGGATGATCCATATAGACAAGTGTATTCTACGCATATGAGTTGGTACCTAATTATATTTATCATACTTTTCTGAGCTACATCTTATTATTAATACCATAATGGTATCAGTATCACTGTCAAACAGTTAAGACTAATTAAGACTTGTCTCATCATTATTAAATTACTTACAGGATATAATATGTCTCCAGTCGGTCAGTTCTGACAACGGACCAAGCCCGATTAGCCGAATAACCGATTACTCGTTTTACCGTCTTGTAAGCTGGTCTCAGCTAATATTGGAGGAAAGTTCTAATTCGGCAATGATCATACTTTCACTGGCATGTATCGATTCCACCGAAATTACCTTTTTAAAATGATACTTATCGATTACGACGAGTATAGACTCTACCAAACTTTATTATAATACATTGATACCACCGGCGCATTATTATTTACCTTATTATTTATAATACACTTCAATATACTAAAAATTAATGATGTGAGACTTATGAAAGTTCTATGATAGTTCAGTGTCACAGCTAAGGTTTAGAAGGCTGGAGTACAAAACTAAACAATATGGTCCCTTACATTCCAAAATTTTACAAAAAAATTTTATGAAAAAAAAATGATTTATACGTTGAAATTATTAAAAAAATTACATGTTTATGTTTTTTAAATTACTCAAAAACATTTTTTTCTTTTTTTTTGATTGGCAAAGTCTAAAATTTGTTATACTACGTCAAGTTCTTCAGTGTGAGTTCTATCTTTAAGAGACTTATGTTTGTTAGTAGGTCCTAATATATTGAGTTTCTTATATAGTTTTTAAGCAGATTAAGTTTAGAAAATGATCATTCAACCCATGCAACAGTCACTGGTAAACTTAAAAATATGATACAAGATGTAACAACTTCACACATGCTTTAACTCAATAGGTATTGAGTACTAAGTAGCTAGGTAAATTAAATTAATGAAGAAATACTTCATTTATTTTACTCCGTATTTCCTTAAATTTAAAATCTTAGGAAAGTAATGTACAATATTATGTTATTGTCTGTGTGATTGTATTTAAAAAAATTAATTATTCAATATGTGGGTGTAAAGCAGAGAGCATACTGATTTTACATAACATAGCTCGATTCCAGGTTATGTATTTAAGGTTATATATATTTTCAATTATTATTAACAGGTAAATATGCTATGGGAAGTGGGAATCATATTTAAAAATAAAACCTGTAGGTCACTCTCGTCGGCGTGGGATAATGGTCCATATAGTATAAAACCGTAGAACAGAACTATAGCACTATAACACATTGTTTGATAAAAGTGCGGTAATTTCTTGTCAGCACGGCTGTTTAACCGTGTTCAGATAAAAAAAAAAGAATTACAATCAGACAATTGAGAAAGTGACCAACAATCAATTTACGGGTGTCGTTTCCTCTGAAAACTTTTTTTCTAAAAAGGTAGGTACAGTGGAATGATGACATTGTTATATATGGGGCGTACAATGCGAACGAACAGTGCACAGACCACTGACATTTACAAATTCACCAAATACGAAAAAAAAACACTATTTTTAGACCGGATTAAATGATTAAAAAATGTTCAGATCGTCCGTTATTATTACAACTGTTTCGTCCCGCAGAGTTCCGGGTATGTATGCTCACTGCTCACAGCGCCGACTCGGGATTATAGCGGCGTCTGCGATTATCATTTTGGACAATGTCCTACAGTACCACCGAGGTAGGTGCGTATAATAAATATAACATATCCAATCAGATATGCTCTGTACGTGCTTCTAAATAATGGCTAGCGTTCGAGTAGAAACGGAATACGATTCGTAACGCCTATGGTTACTGTACAAGAAAAAAAAGAAACATTGGCAGTAGTAAGTTTATACTATATTGGTAGATATACGGATGTGTGTGTGTGTGTTATTTTCGTTCGTCAAAGGCGATATGCCGACTGTATTGTATTTATTTTTTCCCGACCTGGGCCTTTCCCGAAACATTGTTCGACAACATTGGCGGGTATTAAATTCGAATTATGTGTGGGTATATGTACAATACTTTACTGCTATAAATAGGTTTTGCCATTGTCGTCCTCGTCACAACAGGCGGATGTACATTTTTTTACTGTTCTTAGACAACGTCAAATACTCATATAGCAATAAATATACTTTCATTGCTCTATCATAATATATTTTAGAGGACAAAAATAATCCAAAGGGAGGTGGATATGAACCCCTCTCCCGTGATCACTCCAGTGTTTCAAGCCTGTTAAACATTCGTAACTGAAATTACACAATCATTTTGATTATAATGTAAAAAACTGTTATTCGTTTTCCCAATATTACTTAATGCATAATGCTTGAAAACGCTGTCAACATGTGTAAATGTAGTAAAATATTTTATAATATACTTGTGAACATTTAATTTTACCTTAGGTATATGATAATTGGAACAAACTCAAAATCTCTCGTGTTATTACTTGATTAATAGGCAATTATGTAATGATACAAATATTTAAAACATCAATTTTCGACATAGATTTACTTATATTAAACTAACATCAAATATCTTTTTCAAAAATGTTAATTATATTTAATTTTTAAGTTAACAACCACAGTATTTGAGTTGTTGTATTTATTATTTAATATATATTTTTAAGCCATATTACAATATTCAATCAATATTTTGATTATAAACCTTATGATATTATTGTTGTGAAACGATGAATGTTTTTTATTTTTTATTTTTTTTTTATCGTCTCACTCAGAATCTAAAATCAAAAACGTAGACTGACCGATCCCAACTAGACTTGACGACAAATTCAAATCTGTTTTCAGAATTCTTATCGCTTCACTTTATCAATCGGTACGTTTGCCAAAAAACACCTCTGAATTATTATGTTGCGTGTGTGTTAGACAAAGACAGTCGTCACCGCCACCGATCCCCTTAATAGTTTATAACCTACTTAGTTAACATTGCATCTTTAGTTTGTTGAGTTTTTTATATAATATTAAACTAAAAATAATAATTGTAGTTTAAAATAATCTGAAATATGCTGGATGAACTAACAGAGTAAGAACCAAGAACGGCGAAAACAACCTTGAGGGATTACTATATGACATGTCTTAAAAATTTGAAGTTCGAACACTCCTAAAAAGTGTATGTTGCTTTACTCTAATTTATTTTTTAAATTCCAGTATTAAAAATTGATGAGGAACCTTAAATAAAATTGTAAAAATAATACATAATTGTAATTAAAAATTGTCAGAAGCACTGTGGAAGATTAAAACAGTTTATTTATAAATAGTTAATTTAATCCATGTTACAAACTTGTGATCTTTACAATTAATCTACTTGTGTTGTAATATTCATAATTATTAAGAAAAGAGGGGCATCACCGTTTTCTTCCAAAATCGACATTTCCGTTTACTGCCAGTATAATAATATAATATGGGGGACGAGGTGACCGAGTGGTCTGACTCTTCCGCTGCGACGCAGCCGGTCGCGGTTCGATCCTCGGCCACNGTCTACTTTCATATAAACGTACCTACGGTAAATTTTATTTCGTTTTATTTCTGTGCTCGTTTCTGTTTCGTTTTTTGTTTTATAATAATCAAATATGAAGAGAGGAGCACTTGACAATTTTTTTAAACCTAAACCAAAAAAACCATTTACTGGTG